CTAGTCTGGTACAGCTACTGAGGCTTCCCTGTCCTTCCTCGTCCGGCGTTTCTCCTTCAGGTTAGACCTGCGGGAGTCCTCGAAGGAGGCGACGGCCTGGTGAACAGTGTGGCGCCAGGCCTGGCGGTCAGCAGCGAGTGTCGACCACTGTCGGTGGTCAATTTGGCAAGCACCGAGGGATTTCTGGAGGGAGTCTTTGTAGCGTTTCTTCGGTGCACCTCTGTCACGGTGGCCTGTGGAGAGTTCGCCGTACAGAGCTATCTTTGGCAGGCGATGTTCCTCCATTCTAGAGACGTGCCCTGCCCAGCGAAGCTGCGACTTCAGCAGCATAGCCTCAATGCTGGAGATCTCTGCCTGTTCGAGAACTTCAACGTTGGTGACGTAGTCACTCCAATGGATGTTGAGGATGGTGCGGAGACAGCGCTGGTGGAAGCGCTCTAGGAGTCGTAGGTGGTGACGGTATGTTACCCATGACTCGGAGCCGTACAGCGGGGTGGTGAGTACGACGGCTCTGTTGACGCTGATCTTCGTACCCTTTGTCAGTTGTCTGTTGTTCCAGACTCTCTTGTAGAGTCTGCCGAAAGCTCTGTTTGCCCTGGCTAGTCTGTTGTCAACTTCCCTGTCGATCTTGGCATCTGATGTGATGGTACACCCCAGGTAGGTGAACTGGTGAACTACTTTCAGCTCAGTTTCGCCAATAGTGATGTGAGGAGGGCGGTACTCTTCCCGGGGTGCAGGCTGGTGGAGGACCTCTGTCTTCTTCAAACTGACCTCAAGTCCGAAGAGCTGCGCAGCCGCTGCAAAGCAAGACGTTAGGAGCTGCAAGGCTCTTTCGGTGTGGGCAACGAGGGCAGCATCGTCAGCAAAGAGGAGGTCACGGATCAGCTGCTCAAGTGTCTTTGTGTGGGCGTGCAGTCTCCTGAGGTTGAACAGACTGCCGTCAAGGCGATAGCGGATGTACACAGCTTCGTCATCTTCAAGGTCTTCAGTGGCCTGCTTGAGCATCATGCTGAAGAAGATGCTGAACAGAGTAGGTGCCAGGACACAACCCTGTTTCACGCCATTGACGATGGGGAAGGGCTCTGAGAGGTCGCTGTTCAACCTGACTTGGCCGCGTTGATCGTCGTGCAGTTGGATGACCATGCTGAGGAACTTTGGGGGGCAGCCAAGGTGTTCCATGATCATCCATAGCCCCTTCCTGCTCACAGTGTCAAACGCTTTCGTCAGGTCCACAAACGTCATGTACAGCCCTTTGTTCTGCTCCCGGCATTTCTCTTGGAGCTGCCTCAGGACGAACACCATGTCTGTGGTGCCCCTGTTGGTCCTGAATCCACATTGGATTTCTGGGAGGTGGTCTTTAGCGATGGTGGGTACCAATCTGTTCAGAAGCACTCGGGCGAGGATTTTTCCCGCGATAGAGAGCAGTGTTATCCCCCGGTAGTTGGAGCAGTCCGACTTTTCTCCTTTGTTCTTGTACAAAGTGATGATGACTGCATCACAGAGGTCTCTTGGAAGCTTGCTCTGCTCCCAACAACAGACAAGGAGTTCGTGGAGCTTGCTGTGTAGTGCTGGTCCCCCATCTTTCCAGATCTCTGGTGGTATCCTATCAACTCCTGCTGCCTTGCCACTCTTCAGCTGCTCTATGGCTTTTGAAACTTCTTCCATAGATGGTAGTTCATCCAGTTCCACTATGACTAGTTTCTGAGGAATGCAGAGAACTGCTGAGTCCTGGACGACGTGGTCAGTACTGAAGAGGGCCTGAAAGTGCTCGGACCAACGGTTCAGGATGGAAGTCTTGTCTGTGAAGAGCGCCTGTCCATCTGCACTGCGCAAAGGACTCTGGACGTGGTGAGTAGGACCATATACTGCCTTAAAGGCTTCATAGAAGCCTCTGTAATCACCAGTGTCTGCGCAAAGCTGGGTTTTCTCTGCGAGGTTAGTCCACCACTTGTTCTGGATCTCTCGAAGCTTGCGCTGGAGGTTGCTGCAAATGAGACGGAAGGCAGCTTTCTTCACAGGACATGATGGCTGAGCCAGGTGGGCCTGATGGGATGACCTCTTCTTTGTCAACAGTTCCTGGATCTCTTGGTTGTTCTCATCGAACCAGTCTTTGTTCCTCTTGCTGGTAAACCCCAGAATTTCTTCGGATGTTTGCAGGATGGCAGTCTTCAGTTGATCCCAGAGTGTCTTCTGGGCAGTCGTCGATCTCAAGCTTAGACTGTAGGCCTGCCTGAAAGTCAGCTTTCACTTCAGCTGACTGAAGCTTCTTGAGATCGAACTTTTTAGTGGGGGTCCCTCCCTTCCTTGGTTTGGGTGTGAAGTGCATCCTGAGTTGGCAACGCACTAGTAGATGGTCCGTGCGACATTCTGCACTGGGCATCACTCTGGTGTGAAGGACATCCTTGAGGTCTTTTTGGCGCACTAGGATGTAATCTATGAGGTGCCAATGTTTGGACCAAGGATGTATCCAGGTTGTTTTTAATCTGTCCTTTTGCTGGAAGATGGTGTTGGTGATGACCAGTTGTTATTCAGTGCAAAGCTCCAACAGCAAGCGCCCATTGTCATTGCAGTTTCCAACGCCGTGTCTGCCAAGAACTCCTTTCCAGGCATCTACATCTTGAGCCACTCTGGCGTTGAAATCACCAAGGATTATTACCTTGTCATCTGCAGGGATGCTTTGGAGATGGCCTCGGAGCTCCGAGTAGAACCTGTCTTTTTCTGCAGGTTCAGCTTGGAGAGTCGGGGCGTACACACTGAAGAGCGTGGCATACTGTTCGTTCTTCAGAGGGAGGCGCATGGACATGATGCGGTCGTAGTGTATACATATATATATATATAAATACATATATGTATATATGTATGTATACACACACACACACACACACACACACACACACACACACACACACACACACACATATATATATATATATATATATATATATATATATATATATACACATACATATATATATATATATATATATATATATATATATATATATATATATATATATATATATATACATACATACATACATACATACATATATATATATATATATATATATATATATATATATATATATATATATACATAAATATATATATATGGAGAATGTCTTATTCCTTTCTTTCATGTTTATCTTTTTTCATTTCCTTTTTTGAAAAGCAGAGAGAGAGATAGATGCATAGATAGATAGATAGATAGAAAGATAGATAGATAGATAGATAGAGAGAGAGAGAGAGAGAGAGAGAGAGAGAAATGGGTGAGTGCGGAATAATGGCAGATAAAACAGGTCATAAATATAATTCTTTCTCTTTCTCTTTATCATTTTCTAGTCTGAATAAAATACGCACTACCTGGAAGAAGACAAAGAAAGAGGCAAAGAGACCGAGATATAAAGAGAGACAGGCAGATAGATTGATAGACAGAGATCTACACACACACACACACACACACACACACACACACACACACACACACACACACACACACACACACACACACACACACACACACACACACACATATATATATATATATATATATATATATATATATATATATATGGAGAATGTCTTACTCCTTTCTTCCATGTTTATTTTTTTTTCATTTCCTTTTTCGAAAAACAGAGAGAGAGAGATAGATACATAGATAGATAGAATGAGAGAGAGAGGGAGAGAGAGAAATGGGTGAGTGCGGAATAATGGCAGATAAAACAGGTCATAAATATAATTCTTTCTCTCTCTCTTTATCATTTTCTAGTCTGAATAAAATACGCACTACCTGGAAGAAGACAAAGAAAGAGGCAAAGAGACCGAGATATAAAGAGAGACAGGCAGATAGATTGATAGACAGAGATCTACACACAGATGTAGATATTAAAACTTGAAATAAATGTCTTATCTCTTTTCTATCCTTTTTTTTTTCTTTCACCTTTCAAGCCAGAGGAAAATAAACACGAGCTGGAAACACGTGTCCTTCCTTGTTCTCACGTTGATCTTTATAAACTTGTCGTTAATGAAGACTGGAATCTCTCGCCGGAAGTACGTCTTAAGCAACACTTACGAATTCGATGAAAACAGTCAAATAAGCGACCAAGGAGAGGCTAGTGTTGAAGGAAGAGGTGAGGAAGGAATCCCCGAAGATGAAAAAATCGACAGAAGAGAAACAGAGAAGGCATTTTCGAACGGGGGCGAGACGATAAAAGGAGAAGAAGAGGCGATGGAAGAAGTCGATAAGAGAGGAATAGCAATATATAATGACGTAGAGGGATTGGGAGAGAAGGAAAACGCAGATATCCAACCACAGAAGACGAAGAAACAGAAGGTTATCTTACTGTGGACTGGTTGGCGAAGTGGTTCAACTTTCTTAGGAGAATTACTGAAGCGAATGTCCAACAAGACGTTTTACAGGTAAACAAGTCCTTTAAAAAATAATTTAGTCGTATACATTGATTGCTTTAATGATATTAGTAAGTGAATGATACAATAATGATTTAAACATTGGCTTAATGATGGTGAGATACCCAGTAATAATGACAGTAGCGGTGATATCAGTAGGAAAGGTAACTAGGGGTAAGCACTCCCCATCGAATGAGATAATTATTCGTATATACTGATAGAAGCGATGATATAATAATGATATAAGCGATCGTAGACCTAATGATGGTGACTTTCACTATAGCTATGACAGTAACAGTGATAACAGTAATAAGGGTTATAATTATAATACTGATGATGACAAACAGTAGAATATAACAACAAATAAAATATGATAAGTAATGCTAATAATAGCGATGATAATAGTAAAATTAGTATTCACAATAATGATAAGGATTATAGCATTGTTATGATTACTAATAACGGTAATATTGATAATGTTAATTCCATCATGGCTATCAATAATAATAGTAATGATAATAATAATGATAATGATAATAATTGCAATAATGATAATAAACGTAATAATAGTGATTGTAATCATATAAATAACAACAACATTAACACCCAAAAAAAAAAAAAAAAGATAATGATAATAATAACAATATCAATGATATCAATAATGATACTGATAGCAATAATTATAAAAATGACATTTGTAATAACAGCTGCGATAATAATAATGATATTGGTAGTACAAATAAATGTGACAATGATAATAGTGATAATTATGATAGTGATAATGATAATGATAACAATAATGATAATAATAATAGTAATAATAATTATAACTATAATGATAACAATAACCAAATAATAAATAATGATAAAAAGGATCATAATGATATTAACAACAATAATAATAATAACAATATTTATAATCATAATGATATGAATAATGATGATAACGATGATTAATAATAATAATAATGATAGTAATAATAAAAAATAAGAATGCCATCATTACTACTGTCAATATCATTGTTATCATAACTATCATTATCTTTATTATTATTTCTATTATCATTAACAAAAATAGTGATAACAGTAATAACAACAATAATACTACCATCAACAACGTCAACGATAACATCACCAATAATAGCAATGCCATCTACAAGATCAATGTATATAAATACTGACTGTGCTAATGATACCAAACAGCTACGAGCCACTTCACATCTTCAAAGTCCAAGTCCAGGAGAAGACGGACAACCCCACCTCTGTCTCTCTTTCCGCTGCGTCCGCTCTACGAGACATTCTGGCCTGTGACTTCCGTACCCACAAGGCAATCCTCAAGTATCAGAACAGATGGAAGTGGTACCAGCACGCCAACACGTATCTCATGGACAAGTGTAGGAAAACCAGCAAGTGTTACGACCCGAGTTTTGTGAGCGAGACCTGTCGATCGGCGGATATGCATCTGCTGAAGGTGAGTCCGTAATGAAGGAGGGGACGACGGTGGTGGTGATGGGGAAGATGGTTAGGGTTACTGGTGGTGATGGGAAAGATGGTTAGGGTTACTGGTGGTGATGGTATGAGAAACGTGTGATAGTGGTCATGGATAATGGAAAGTGTGATGGCGGGGGTTGGGATAGTATAATGTTAAGGGTAAGTGGATGAGCAATATGGCAGGGCAGGAAGCAGATGCAGGAGGCAGAAACAGTATGGAGTTTGAACTCTTCATCAAGCCATTTAACCAATTTCAAAGCCCAACCAGTCATTGTATGAAGGTATCCACAGCCTGTTATAAACTGGTGGCAGCCTAATGGAAATAATGAAGCTGATTCAGGATTTTGAAGAAAGCAGAGACTCTAAATGGCAAATGTAATATTTGTATAAACACGGCCACAAAGACACACATTGTATATACATATATGTATATATGCATATTAAATATACATACACACATACAAATATATATGTATATTTATACATATATATGTATATATATGTATATATGTATATATACATATATACATTTATATTTATATGTACTGTATATAAATGTATATATACGCACACACATATACATATATATGCACATATATATACACATATCTATGTATATTTATATGCATATACATGCATATTTATATAAATGTATATGTACATTAATATGTATATATACATATATAATATATATATATATATGTGTATATATATATATATATATATATATATATATATATATATATATATATATATATATGTGTGTGTGTGTGTGTGTGTGTGTGTGTGTATGTATGTGTGTGTGTGTGTGTGTGTGTGTGTATGTGTGTGTGTGTGTGTGTGTGTGTGTGTGTGTGTGTGTGTGATACACATACATACATACATCCCCCCTCAAAACCTTCACGCTCACCAACAGCAGAGGAGATTAGCAACAAAGAAACGTAAGTAACGCTCTCACGCAATCACACCAGAAATAATAAAAGGAGAAAGAAGCAACATAACAGAAATGAAACCGACAAGTAAGAAGGCCCAGCACCCCCCCCCCCCCCCCCACACACACACACACCAATAAGAACATCCACGCACCATCAAGATAAACCATGGGTCACCAAGAGGATCAGAAACCTTATTCTGGCAAGGATAACAGTGATACTTAACAAAAAAGATAAGACAAGAAAGAAGATCGCCTAAGAAACATTTACATAAACAAATCAGTGAAAAAAACATGCTAGAGCTACATTAGGAATAACGTGACTAAAGAAGTGCCTGTTACCTCTCTCAAATCAGCGAAATTACCGAGTCGACAGAGAACGTTGCTAACATCATCAACTGTCATTTTGCTAACATCAACAAGCTACAGAGTTGCCAGTTTAATTACCCTCACGCCCTTTCCCATCAATTGTAAGCGAGTACGAAGTGTAATAGTATTGAAAAAGGATAGCAAAACGTGAATCTCCCGGCTCTGATTACATCCCGATAAGATTACCGTGAGACTTCGCTCCGAGCTCGCCACCCTTCCATGAGACATCTTTGATAACTCCATCACTGACGGTGTGGTACCTGACCTATGGAAGCGTGCTCTCACAGTCCCAGTTCCCAAAACAAATCTACAGAATTCTCTTGATGACCTTAGGCCTATATCACTAACCCCTATTCCATGCACAATACTCGAGATAATAATAGCTAAGTAATTGTGGAAGGCATTTACCCCCAAATTAGATCATCGCCAGTTCGGATCAAAGGAAGCTCCATCGCCCACTACCTGGCTGACTTTATCAAATGTTCCACATCAAACGTAGACAAGCGACAGGAGGTGACCTCTGTGACCATTGACCTGCGGAAGGCATTTGACCTCGATCACACTACCTTCATCAAGAAAAGGATTTCCGTGGGACTTTCCTTGGTTGGGAGCATCAATCTCCACTCCCAGACGACTCGTGGGAACGGTCGTCGGTCCACTATTGTTCCTGAATATGGTAAATGGGAAGATTGTGCATCATCAAACAAAATGCTAAACACTAAAAAGTGCATAGAAATAAAATTTAAATTCAACAAATTAGCCGACTGTAACAGAACACTCACTTATTTATGCTATCAAAATTCGAATTCTTTGGCGCTTCCCAGGACGACCTACTCCGCATATGGACGACTTCAGAAAAGAACATTGCGGATCATAATTGGATCAAATTAAATATCAAATGCTGATGCGCTAAATCAGCTACAAATCCCAAGAGGAAATTCTAAACAAGAAAATTTGCCTGCCACATGCTTTCATCGGGATATGTTTCCGTTAATTGAGCAAACAGCACCTTGAGGATGTAAACCATAAACTATGTGGACCAAAATTCCATATATCCAGATATTACGTCAACCGTACCCTACTGCCTTAGACACTTAAATCCCACTTTGTAAAATAACAACTTTACTTTTGTAACGATAAGTAAATCTCCTGGCATATATATATATATATATATATATATATATATATATATATATATATATATATATATATATGTACACACATACACACACACACACACACACACACACACACACACACACACACATATATATATGTATATATATATATATATATATATATATATATATATATATATATATATATGTATATATATATATATATATATGTATATATATATATATATATATATATATATATATATATATGTATATATATATATATATATATATATATATATATATATATATATGTATATATATATATATATATATATATATATATATATATATATATATATATATATATATATATATATATATATACATACATACATACACACACACGTGTGTGTGCGTGTGTATGTACATTCATATGTATATATATACATATATATGCATATATATACATGTATACATACGAATACACACACACACATATATGAAGAAAAGGTATGAATGAGAATGAATATCTTCACAATACAAGAGACGTATTTGACCGGTTTCGATTGCATCTTCGTCAGAAGATATAATCGAAACCGGTCAAATATATCTCTTGTATTGTGAAGATATTCATTCTCATTCATACATTTTATACATTTGTCAATATGAATACGGTTCATATATATATATATATATATATATATATATATATATATATATATATATATATATATATATATATATATATATATATACACACACTTATGTGTGTATAAAAATAAATAGATGAATAAACACACACACACACACACATACAAAAGTGTGTATGTGTATAGGGGAAGGGAGGAGAACACATCAGCTGAACAATCACAACCAAATCTCCAGTTTCTCTGTGAGCTGATACACAAGTGTTTCCTAGTATACACAACCGTACAAGTGAATAACAACGAAACTATTAACCCAAACGCCAACTCAGCATCTCATGTTTCAGGTTCTCCGCTTAAATCTCCCTTGGGCCCGGACTTTCCTGGAGAACGAAAACCTCGATTTTCAGATCCTGTACTTGGTTCGGGACCCACGCGCCGTGCTCAGGTCAGTGTAGTAGCAAGATATGCAATTACGGTTACTTTTATTATTGTTACTTATCTTGGCGTCAATTACTTTGCTACAACCTTGTTTCCGCTAGTGACGGATAAATTTAAATAATCAATCAATCATCCTAATTTTTATCTAGCTGTTAGGTCAGAGGCCAGTTTTATTCAGCCCTTATCGTCATTTCCATTGAAAAATTCTCACTAGTTAAATATAAACCCAGATATTTTGAACAGCGACACGAAATTAACCAGAAAGTAAAAAGTGTGTCAGTCTCACATATTCTAACCCATGAATCCTGTCCTAATATCATTCATATACTTAGAACGCGAGGCAACAACACAACTTAAAATGCCAATCATGTTTAGGAATTAGAATTAGGGTTTAATAGATTGGAAAAAAAATACATCTTAGTAAATGCAGTCATATATTTCTCTGATAAATGATGGAGTGATTTGCAACACCTGTCTCTACGACTTTCCAATATATATATATATATATATATATATATATAGATAGATAGATAGATAGATAGATAGATAGATAGATAGATATATAGACATATATATATATACATATGAGTTTATGG